TGCAACTACATCTTCAGCCTTCTGACCGGTTACCCCGATGAGCCCCCTGCTGGTGCTCAGGTCGCCGAGGGCATGAACTTCAACCCTTACTTCCCCGGCACCGGTACGTTTTCGTAACCATACTTGATCTCACTTTCGACTAATCCGCATCTTAGGTATTGCCATGGCCCGTGTCCTGTTCGATGGTGTCGTTGAGTACGAGGATGGCACCCCTGCCACCACCTCCCAGATGGCCAAGGATGTCACTGAGTTCCTCAACTGGGCTGCCGAGCCTGAGATGGATGAGCGCAAGAAGATGGGTGCCAAGGCCCTCGTCATCCTGACCGGTCTGTTTGCCCTGACTGTCTGGGTCAAGCGCTACAAGTGGGCCCCCATCAAGACGAGAAAGATCGTGTACAGCCCTCCCGTTCCCCGGCGCTAGATGCTGCAGTGGACATGTATGAAATACCAAAAGTGAAGGCATAGATGGCGAATGGCGAGCCCAGAAAATCGTCCGGTTCGGGTCGTCGGCAGTCCTTCATACGTCGGTTTTTTGTCTATGCTTCTGCTGCATGTTTGTTTGTTACAAGTTACTCAGGACTCCTGTATCTGTACCCTAGATATTTCTTCTCCTTTTGAAAATCTCGTTCGAAGATCCAAAGATGTCAATTCATTTTCCTTTGTCATGTTAGAGCCTCTTTTCGTGCGCTTTGCGAGATTCAAATTCTGCAAGATATAACCAGCGCAGTATCCGAGTTTAGATCTACCCTGTGGGCACGGATGGCTTCGTGAATGGGTCAAGATGTATGTATTAATCCATGAATCTGCTCTCGTCTATCAATTGCTATATACGAAGTCGAACCTAATGACCAACCTGATGGACAGCGTAGTCCTGTTGTTTACGAGCGCGTATCTTCCATAGTTCGCTCCCCATCACCGAATATGGGCGCGAAAAAGTAGTCGTATGTACTCCACATTACATAGAACAATAGATTCGACCCCCGCACAAGCCACGGCGGACTGCGACCATCGGGACCGGCCAGCAGTTTCGAAAGTGATATGATTGTAATGAGAGTGGGTACCCATGATGCAGCGAATATGGCTTTGCCGAACGTCTGACGCACGGTCGTGATACGGTACGGCCGGAACTGCGAGAGGTACCTCCGATAGGGAAGCGGGAGGTTATGTTCGGCTGCACCGGTGTTGATCAGATCGAGGTAGCGAGCGGACGGCTGGGCGTAGAAAGATTTAGGACGCCTGTATGGAGGGGGGAGCTTGTGATCTTTTGCAGTTAGGTGAGAAGGATCTGGATCCTCGTTTGGAGACAAAAGAGTGTGAGCTTTGAAGGGCTTGGTTTCGGGATGTTCGGGTATTGGGTCGGTCGGGCTTTGGGATTTCGGGAAGGGATAGCAATCCACGACGATGTCCTTGTATCCGCCCCCACCACCCTCCGTTGCGATTATTTTAGCGTAATCAGTGATAGTCACCTCATACACAACTCCGACGAGAGGCATAGATGCGGAGCCTTCCGAGAGGAGGGCGGCTTGCTCAAACGTATCCGCGTCCGCCGGGCTTTCGACGTTTCCAACCTCTCCTGTCTCTGTCTCCTTTGATGGGTGCGCACGGCGCCCGGTTGCTGCAAAACATGGCTCAACGTACGGAATCCCGGGCATGTCGAAGGTCAGTTGCAAGCTGGGAACGACGACATTGATCTGAGACAGAGGCCTGATCCCTCGCTTGCCTAGGAAGGTCTTTGCACACAAGTTCGAGCCATAGGCGAGGTACAGAACGGTCTTCTCGGGAGGTACAGTATCCTCGATCTGGTGACTTGTTACCTTCTCAGCGAGGTGTTCGTCTCGGTCAAGTGACTGATCCGCGATGGATTGTCGGCGTCTCTGAACGGTGGTCTTGGGAGGATGGCAATCGGTCTCTCGGGAAGAGATATCCTCGGGGCGAACTGGGCTGACAAGTTCCCATAATCGCCGGAATGTCTGAAGTGCATTGAACTTGGAGGGTGAAGTAGCCCCAGGGTCTGCTTCCCCGTCCGAAGTAGGAAGTTGTATGGTCATTTTCGCCAACCGATGATGCGCTAAGACCGCCTCGCTTCTGTGGTCAGTTAGCTTCTAATTGCGTCAGTTCATTCCACGATTGCGACAGCGAGTGAGGCCTCTTAAAGGTCTTAGTTAGGTTACGTATGCTACGACTCCTAGGCCAATTTCTGCTGAGCAATCAAGCGACGGGGGTCAGAATGGCAAAGAACCATCGGCATCCGGAGGAACCGGAAAGACCATGGCTCGGCACGGAGTGGCCAACTCCCCGTCGGAGGATTTAACCTTCCATCAACCACTAGAATCAAAGCAACAGGAGCACGAAGCTGAGGCAGGAATTCTTGACACGTTTGAGTTGGCAATGGCACCTCGCTAAGCTTTCTATGACACAGTACAGATGATCTTCCCCTTGGTCTGATTGCTTTCCATCAACTTATGCGCATCGATAATTTGCTCCATCGGAAAGACCTTCTCCACAAACACCTTGAAACTTGCATCCTTGAACTTGGGTAAAGCATGCTCCACAAGGGTATCGCGTAGCTTCTTCTGGTATTGTTCGTCTCTGCTCCTCAGAGTGCTACCCTCAAATCGGAGCCTCTTGCGAAGAAATGGGGCAATGTTTACACCTTCAGGTAGCTTCACACCGCCCATAACAGCAAGATTGACAATGCGACCGTCTTTCGCAGCAGCATCCAGATTTCCTTGGAAGTAACTGGCGCCAATGAAATCGACAATGATGTTTACGCCCTCTCCGTTGGTGGTTTTCTGGATTTCAGCGGACCAGTCCTGGGTGTGATAATTGAATCCAGCAGTCGCACCGAGCTTCTTGACGCAGAAGTCTATCTTTTCATCGGAGCCAGCGGTTACATAAATTGCCTTGGCTCCGTCTGCCTTTGCAAGCTGGATACCAGCGATAGAGACTGACGATGCGCCTGCATGCCACAGGACAGACTGACCCGGCTTGTACTCACCAACGAGATAGAGTGCCTGAGTCGCTGTGATCCATGTCTATTAATAGCGTAGAAGTCAGATGGAGTCACTCAAAAGGGCCAGGATCGTGTAGAAGTCACCTCTGGAATGCCCGCAGCTTCCTCCCAAGATAATTCCGCAGGCTTGTGAATGAGCATATTAGTAGATACTGCAATGTACTGAGCATAAGCCCCTGTGCATCGAATCGTCAGCTGTGGTAAGACGAATAGCAGGCTTCGTGAGCTGACCTCCATAAGCCAGGCCGAAGACCTCATCTCCAACTTTGAAGTCCCCGTTGGCGTCTGGACCCAGGTTCTCGATAGTCCCTGAGAATTCCACTCCCATGGTCTCCGGCGCCTGAGGCGGAAGCGGATACTGGCCCTCACGCTGAAGAAGATCCATCCGGTTCAATCCGAATGCTTTGATCTTCACCAGCGCCTGGTTGCCACTAATAGGCGGAACCGGGATGTCATCAATGTAGAGGGCATCAGCAGGGCCTGTGCCGCCTTTCACAGCTAAACTTCTGTCAATAGCAACTTCTAGACCAGATTCAAAAGCAGACAGACGAAGACTGACCGACTGCTTTCATAGTCCTTGTTCCCGCCATTACTCGAATCAGTGGCACCGAGCGAGCGTATCTTTAGCCGAAATCTAGATTTCGAAAGTTCAAATGAGCCTTCTTGACCAATTGAGCTCAAAACTAGGGTCGGGCTGCAATATAGGTACAAAGTGACGTCTTTAAATCTAGCTCCACAAGCATGACCTTATCAAGTTCCGCATGCTACGTGATTGATAAGCATGCACCACTGTCGTCATTGGTCAGGTGCGTCGTCAAACAAAGAAGCTCGTGGCCTTACTGCAAGTCTCCATGAGAGTGGGACCTATTGGTCAGATTGACGGCACAAAGGCGATTCACTCAACCGACACGGAAACCCATCAAAACCACATCTTAAGCATTTTTCGGCTGTCCAACCGCCGAGGATGTTTCCAATTTCGGCTCTGGCATCACGACAAGTTAACTAGCAGAAAGACACAGACCTTTGAGTCAGCCGCTCAGCGGTTCAAGTTCAGCCGACATTCCAAGCACTTGCTTGAGCTTTTTTGGAAGGATTGGAACTTTCCAGATATCTGCTTCATGACTTCTATACATCCCTCTGCTCGCTTCCGAGCCTCGGGCACTGAGGGGATCATAGGTCTTGCTTCGCTTAGAGAAAGATACAAATAAGTGGGACTGGACAACCTCTTTGTTTGCAAACCGTAGTTGGCGGACGTGTTCCTATTCCTTCCAAGACATAAACAAGCCAATTTGCTGATTCTTGCTTACTGCGAGCTCGTTGACGGCGCTCTTGCCAGTGGCTTTTCGGCGGATTGGCGTCGAAGCAGATTTCCCAATACCTTTGTGCTTGAGGGTTTTCTCTCGTATGTTCGCATATCATGAGTGTCCACTTGCTTCTCAGAAGCTTGGTCTATGAGATATCAAAATCTTAAACCAGCAGGTCTGCTCTTTTGAAGTTTTTCGTCTCTATCCCAAAGTATGGCATATGTCTAGGGATGAAGACTCATGAAAAGGTCATCTTTTTGGAAATGGCCGACGCCATATGTCTTTGACACGACGGATAGTCAACAGAAGATTGTTCATAGTGGGTGAGATGTGACTCGGACTTTCTGTACCTGAAGACCTCATCGAGTTTAAGCTGCTTGCCAGGAAACTGTATACGTCTCTGTAGCTCGACTTACCTGGTGTACACAATAATCTGGATCCAAGGAAAACAAATGTGTATATTGGCCAAAGAAGAGAATCTCGAGGCCATGCGAGAGTCAGAGGAACCGGTCGTTCAAAGGGGCTCATTCTGGCCAAGCGCGTGCGAGGCTCCTCAAGAGTGAGGCCCATCATGTGACGGGACATAACTCCTTCTCTTCTCGTCCATTCACTTTTATTTTACCCGTAATGAATTGACATCGAGAACTGGATTTGGGCATCAAAGTCATGCCTAGAGCTACGAAATGCCTTCTTCATCGCCACAGGCAGTTCTCACAGACGAACAACTGGCTGACTTTGCCGAATTGGCGACAAGATTAGAGCACATTTTCACCGGGGAGGCAAAGGATAAGGAATCTCTGTCAGTTTCCGAGTCAAGCGGGATGTATTTCTGATGAGCTGACATCGTGCAGTGTTCCTAGTTACTTGATCGACGCTTTTCTACGCATCGAAACGCCTATCCGCGCACAGCATCTTCAGAAGGTCATAGACGTTTTACATAGATACGAAGCAGATATAGTGCAATCGTTGAACACCACCTCTGTGCATTGTCTAGCATATTTACTTCTCAATTTGGACGTCGAGTCGGAGCAGGAAAATGGGCTGAATCTCTTGCTTGTCGGTTTGCCTGTGGCTTTGAGTCGACGAGGAGCACGACAAAGCTGATCTCTGCAGGACGAATCAATCTATGTCGTCGGGACAAAAAGGAAAAGGTCCGAAGTGACACTGCTTCGTTTTCGAAATCAGTTGCAGCTCGTTCAACGCAAGCTGATTCAGACTCTATATGGCTTATTCATAGACGAAAAGCGAAACAAGCACATCCGACGACTGGTCCGTTATCACTGTCTGACTGCTTAAGCAAGTACTAAACCTTTTCAGGCGGGCAAATTCCTCGTGGAAATATGGCCTGGGACTAAGGATGTTAGGAATCTGCCTTTTGAAATCCAGGATGAGGATATAACTCAGTAAGCGAAAAGGTCGTCATGTACTCTTGGCTTTTCTAACTCCTAGGACTCCGTAGACTTATCTCGATTATATTATACGAAAATGATGCCGTGACAAGATTCTTCGCCGGGGCCTTCATGCAGACACTTCACCTTTCCCAGAAAGACGTCGAGCGACTCCGTCATGCGCGCGACTGTAAATTGCTGGATATGCTTTCCAGGAGCATGGTCGTTCTCCCAGAGGAACCGATCAAGTTCTTCTACCATTACGAGTGCGAAGTGCGACGTATACAGCCGGAACCTGAGAAATACACTATTCTTGTGCCATCTTGCGACCTTGTCCTATCGGGCAATGGCGAGAACAGGCCATTAGCACAGGGATCCGAGGTACTCGGCGTAGTCAGCCCGGAGTCTTTGATATTCGTACTGGCTGTGACTCGCCCATCTGGAGAGCTCTACCAATTCATCGATATCTCGATGCGCTCTACTTTGGAGTCTCTGCGCATATCCAGGCAATACACAGGTGGCGGTATGTCCCGCTTGATTTTACGATTTGATGTGGATGCCTCGCTATCAGTGAATGGGAAGAGACAAATCTCGGGAGAATCGACCCTTAGTTTATCATCGCGTCATGATTTGGCGGATTTGCATACGGCGATTGAGCTGAATGGCAAGCAGATGAAAAGGCAAGGCACAGATTTGAGCACGCTGACCCGGATGTCATCTTCCATTATAATATCGCTTGATACTCATGATGATGCCAGCGGGCCATTTGACCATAGCCAGGCCCTATTCGAAGATGAAGAGCAAAGCCCCGTGTATTGCCTTGGGTCGAATGGGAATCAGCCTGAAAGTAAGACCTGTGAATCACAAACGACGTCCGGCAGCCATGACCGTACCGTCTTGTCTCAACAATCTGAATCAGCGCGCGGAACCTCTGTCATGGGAGATAGCCTCCAGCCGCTTAGTTTCAACCATAATGTTTCGAACCAGGACGGTTGCGAGAGGCCATCGGTGGCATTTGAACGGAAGTCACCAGGACGAAGTATGGTAGAAGAAGGTGGAAATCCTCTAACCCTGAAGGAACATTCTGATAACTCAGCCGAGAACCCGCACAAAGGACTCTTTGATTGCGCCCTCGCAGAGACCGATACTGGCTCATGGAAGAAGAGTCCGCCACATGTCCACACTAGCCATTCTCAGGCGCCTGAAGAAAATGATGCTGGCTGGCTACCCGCCCGAACAAGTAGACCGCGCTCCAAAAGGCACCAGCAGAAGAGAGGATTAACAAGTAGTAAAAGGGCCAGAGGCCAAAAGCCCGACACCCAGGAATCCCTCATCTTTCCGATGCGGCATTCTACAAGGAAGATCTACACTCATGTCAGAACTTCTGTTGACTGGGATGAAGACCTACGACCAAGCGATGAGCCCGAACAGCTCGAAAGTCAGAAAAGCATTGATGGCACATCCATTTCGTCTCCTTTCCCCGGAGAGAAATCTATTTTTGATCGGGCCTCCAGTAAAGGGACCAAAAGAAAGTCGAAGGGCAAGACATCGTCCTGCAAGCGCAGAAAGACCTCCAGAAAGGTGGGTCTGGACAACATAAAGGGCCAGCATGAGATTGAAGAAAGTAGTTTGGCCCAAGAGTCAAAACCGGAAGGTACGCTGGATGCAACCCACATGCCTGAGGTGAACGCTGAGAGCGAGACTTCGAAAGGAAGTCGCACCAAGGCGGATAGAGCGTCTATGGACAAGAGTGTTGAAGGGGGCCCTCCCCGACAGCTTGAAAGTCTTACCGACGAGGCACCGGAGAATGCACTGGTTGCAGTCACGGAGGTATCGGGAGTCGAGCAAAGTATTGCATTCCTGATGGATCAGGCACAGGAGATAGGCTGCCCGCTTATTTTCGAGTCGTCCAGGGACGCAGGCGATCAACACGCAAGCCAAACCTCCAATCCGCAAATTCAGATGCCAAGTTCGGACCGTGAAGGAGATATCATTTCCTATCCTGACTTCAAAGAGTGTGAGCTTGGAGGTAGAGGAACAGTCGTGGGTGAGAAGTTGGCTTCCGCCTTTCATCATGGTTGCACTTTTTACCTCCAGGGAGGGGAAAAGGAGGATGATTCCACTATCTGTGACGGAGACACTGGCTCAGTAGACAAAGAAGACGATGAAAGCCACGCAATGAGCGCTTCAGCATTACAGCATAGTGATTCCGAAACGCGTGCGGTCAAGGTACAGCCCCAGGAGGCCATAGTGTCTCGGACGAACCGAACAACACATCTCTCTTCAGATGCCGAGCGAGCAGTAGCGGAGGAACAGACTAGCCAGGAATATCCTGGGAGTATACAGCAGATTTCATCAACGAGGCTAACAAGCAGGAAAAGCAGGGCTGCCCAGACAGAGAAAGACAATGCATCGCGGAAGAAGAAAGCACAGACAAAGCTCTCAGCGGTGGACAGCAGTGAAAAAGAAAGCCGGGCTGATGAGCTTGAATGCCAATCCCAGGAAATTTGTGGTCTAGGGCAAAGCGAGCCTGGCTTATATGCTTTGAAGAAGGCAGGCCTCGGAAATGGCAGAGCGCAGACTTCGACTGGAGCAAGGGAAAGGGTCACGTCTGGTTATCACAGTCTCAAGTTGATCCGCCAGATACAGAAACCCGAAGAGGGACATTCTTCAGATTCACGCAGCCCGAAGATACTCTCTCGTGTTAAGACCATTCCGAGGCTGACTCCCAGGAAGGCCATAGTTGACAACAATGGGAGTCCCCGGCTGGTCTCGCGACACATTGCTGGATCCCAATGCTCTAACCACGCAAACCTCGACTTTACGCAAGGATCCGGAGAACTGATGCTGGTAGGAATGAATTTGATTTCACAAGGATTTAGTGAATCTGGATACGAAGCGGATTTTGATGAGCAACCAGATGAATTTCCCCTTGAGACACCTGAGATCTCTTCATTTCGTACAAAGATGGATGCTCATCGCGACAAATATGTTCCCAGAGACTGCGAAACAGCAACCCACAAGGAAGTTTCTGAAAATCCTGTGACTGGTTGCAGAGAAGGGTTGGTCGTGTCAAAACTCGTAACCGCATCAGGAAAGGAGTTTACGATGCGCCTTTCGACGAAGCCACCCAAAAAGTCACCAAGAAGGTTGGACAGGTCAAATGCAGAAGGCGATGGAGCGACACAGCTTTCATCCAAGGAAGAAGGGTGCTTCATTGATTCCAGCTGGAATCCAACTGAAACGAGTCCAAGCAGCGAGGAGTTGCCTGGTCAGGCTGACTTAGCATCATCATTGCAGTCACTGCATGAGAGCGCCCGCGATATGCTACTGATTACAAACGAGGTATGTCAATGCCGTTACACAATATGATGATTTTGTTATTGCTAATGCAGCGCAAAGCACCTACTGCACGGACTTGACAAGGAAAGGGCGGCTATCAACACATTCCTGAACTCATACCGCCAGCAATACAACCGAGTGCTAGACCAACTTGTCAAGAGGCAGGAAGAGCGGATCAAGCTATGTAAACAGCATATGAAAGCGATCAAAAGCCATCACTCAGCTCTTTGTCAGGAGTTGATCCATCGACTTCAGGAACATGAGCAGCGTTTACTGAAGGATCTCAGTGAGGAAGATTGATGGTCTAACGTTGAAAAAGGTTTTAAAGGACTCATGATCAATCGCACACGCAGCTTGCATAATGATGGCAACCTCGCAGGGACCAGGCTTGGATCAGAGCGATGGAAGGGTCATACCATTGACCGTAGTGGACGTCGATGGTTCGGATCAACAATCCTCTTGGCACCATAGGCTACGTATATTAGCGGTGTTCTGTGTGATATGGTATTGCAGGAAGACAAATATGTGATGTATAGTACGGAGTACCTGAAAGGTCGTCCTTGAGTTGTACCCAACTACCTACCAGAAGCAGCGAATGTGAAAGAGAAGAATGCACCAAATGTCCAAGAGCGCAGGCATCCCTTGACTCATCGAAGTCACGTGCATGGGCGATCGGTGGCCGAAGTCGCAGCAGGACAAGCAAGGAAGGGCACCCAAGACGTGGAAATTTTTGAGTCAGTGTGAAATTCGGGGATTAAGCTGGTCTTCAAAAATTGAGGCGGGCTCTGTTTCTTTCAATTCACGTCTCAAATAACCTACAGGCGACTCGGACTGCTCCATCCCTCTATCCCTTTCCCTTTACCCCTCTCTTAATCACCTTTATCATTATCACTGTGAGACGCTTAATTTACCCCGCCGCCCGCCATGTCTGTGAGTCGTAGTCCCAACCAAGCTTGTTGTCTCCTATGTAACGAGGAAGCTCATTCAAGCTTTATAGTTCTTCATCGAAAACCCTAATGTAGGGAACAATGACCACCTCGAAGATTCGCGGAGTATGTTCCTTTTTGCTCCGATCTCCACGACCTTCATTGACGAGCTTTTTTGCAAATGAATAGTTCGAGGATACAACCCCCTCACACCTCCTAACCTCCTGCAACATGAAATCGCCATGACAGATAAGTCCAGGCAAACAGTACTGGAAGCTCGTCGAGAGGCTGTTGCGATTGTCCATGGCACAGATACCGACAAGCAGCGCTTGCTGGTCGTTATCGGGCCATGCTCGATTCACGACCCCGACATGGCGCTCGAATACTGCGATCGGCTTCTGAAAATGAAGGAGAAATACAATGACGAATTGCTGATCGTGATGCGCGCCTACCTCGAGAAGCCCCGCACAACAGTTGGATGGAAGGGTCTCATCAACGATCCCGATATCGACAACAGCTTCAAGATCAACAAGGGTCTGCGCACCTCGCGCCAGCTCTTTGTCGATTTGACCAACAAGGGCATGCCCATCGCCAGTGAGATGCTGGATACAATTTCTCCTCAGTTCCTTGCCGATTGTCTCTCTGTCGGTGCGGTTGGCGCGCGGACAACCGAGTCGCAGGTCCACCGTGAATTGGCCTCCGGTCTTTCTTTCCCCGTCGGTTTCAAGAACGGTACCGATGGCTCGTTAGACGTTGCTGTGGATGCCATTGGATCTGTCAAGCACCCTCATCACTTCCTTTCAGTCACAAAGCCTGGTGTTGCCGCCATTGTTGGCACCGTGGGCAATCCCGACTGTTTCGTCATCCTCCGTGGTGGAAAGAAGGGCCCAAACTACGACGCTCAGAGCATCGCCGAAGCCAAGGCTAAGTTGACCTCTAAAGGTCTGCCTCCTCGTCTCATGGTCGACTGCAGCCATGGCAACTCGCAGAAGAACCACAAGAATCAACCCAAGGTTGCTACCGTTTTGGCCGAGCAGATTGCCGCGGGAGAGACCGCTATTATGGGTGTCATGATCGAAAGCAATATCAATGAGGGTAAGCTGCTGTTCACGTAGTGTGAGACCTGAACTCCAGTTAACTAACTCGCGATTTAGGTAACCAAAAGGTTCCTCCTGAGGGCAAGGCGGGTCTCAAGTACGGTGTCAGTATCACAGATGCTTGCATCAATTGGGAGGACTCGGAAGCTGTCCTCGAAACCCTCGCACAGGCCGTGCGTGCCCGGAGAGAAAATCTCGCTGTCAATGGAGCTTCTCACTAATTTATGACCTTCTGCGTATTTTCTTTTCTCGTTGGCCCTCATTGGCCCTTTCAACAAAAGCATTAGATACATCGGTGCGGGCGATGCTTGATGAAAATAGCGTTGTCCACAAAGTCTGTTTCGGGTTTACATACTTGAGCTATTTAATTCAATGGCGCTATGAAGCCTTCCTTTTTCCTTGTCCCTTCTGAAATACAATGAACGCTAGCTACCTCAAGAGAGCTTCTGCTTCCGGTCTCGGCTACCTGCCATTCATAACTTGATAGCGTGCATTAGACCACAGAGGCTCCTGTGATCCTTGACCTTCGATTCCTCTACGGGTTCGAGTACAGGAATGACACTTTTCTTGACTTCCTATCTGCTATCACTACTATCAGTTCAGAGGGGTCATCTGTGAATAATGAACTTCCAAGCCCGATTGAGGATCGACTGGAGCTATCCACTGAATACCAGGAAAGCCAACATGCTCATGCGACCGGGCCTTCTGATGTAGTAATCAAAGGACATTGAACCCCAGCGCATGCAACGTCATCTGGTCTTTCATGGCCCATTGGATCAGTTCAAAAACGTCGGACCCCGACCATTCGGATGCCGAATATTGCCCACTACCTGTTTGGGATCAGGGAGGATGCTGACGCAGCAAACCCCAGGCTTGAGATTATTAAAGGTATCACGCACATTGTCAGTATTCCTCCTCGTTAGAGGCATAGTTTATTATTCATATCGCCATAGAGAGTTACTTAAATGCAGAATTCTGGCGCAGAGTGATTAGATATTCCTCCCAGACCGTCACATTTATGAGCATCTTATATTGCGAAGAGGGTTCAGATACATCTCCAGGGGTCGCTTGCTTGGATCCCCCCTTCCCTTCCTGCACGCCCCCCACCTCCCCCAAAGCGGAAAAATAAGCAAGAGATGATATGGATCGAGATGTACTCTAGGAGCGTTCGCTTGTTTGAGTTACGAGGGCCTTTGTTGCTAACATACTCTTGGACTTTAACAGGTAATTCAAAGTATTAATGCTAACTAAGACCGAAGTCGAGTGATATAGACGGGTATAGATTATAGACCAAATGCATGCGCCGCGCTATGTTGTTTCCCCAAAAAATTGAATTCAATCCACCGCTGAACGCTCTTCCATGTTTACTTCTCAAGCACAAGCACCGTCCACCTCGCGCTGGCCCGGCTCGGGGATCTTGAAATCCACGATGCACGCGGCAAAGGATGGGCGGCGTGCAGCAGCGCCGGGAAGCGCTGGGGGTAGAATATTGTTCGTAGGCACGTATCCCTCATGTAAGAACCGCGGTAACCGACAAATGGCAGACTGCTGACCACCAAAGTCCTCCCGGGAATCAGATGATTTGCGCTTGCTCGAGGATTCTGAAGTCAACAACCCGGAGTCCGTTCTGTCCACCCATTGAGCCGAGGCGATATTGCCATCAGCATCAACGGTTAATGACTTGCAAGGAATGCTAGAACTCTGCTGATTGCTTGAGCTAAAGGTGTCGATATCGATGATGTTTGTTTCACCGTTAGCACCAAAGGCCCAGACTCGCGCACCTCCAGAGGCAGACTGAAGAGCCAGTTCGACCACATTTTCTATACGTGCAATCTCCTTGCCATAGATCTTGAACGGCCACATCATCACTGTTGGTCGCCAGCTGACACTGAGAAGGAACTCCCAGTCGCCGCTCTGGTCTTGCACAAGACTGTCCCGTCGCTTTGCTGACCGCGAATTGTCGAGGAAAAAGTCCCTTGCTAGATCACTGTCTCCCATGACACCGTCTCCTTGTCTCTCACGCTCTTTCCGGATGACATTGTACACATCCATAGGTACCGAGTATAGTACGATCCGATCGCCATACGCAGCGACCACGCGCAATCCCCAGTCCAGGTTCCATCCTGAAGCAAAGACTGTAGGAGCCAGATCATCCTTAGAAACATTAAGGCAATCCTTCTCAAACGGTGGCACACAGACAAGTGCCTGTGTTAAGCTTGTCGGTCCACCGATAGGCGCGTCAGAGCCGATACAAAGTAGACCTGTGCGGGGCTCAATGAACAGGATATGCAATCCATCGTTGATTGGGATAGCTCGATAATGGTGACAATGGGTTGCCCTCACAACACTCAGACTGTCGTTGTTTGAAGGAGTCCATCGAGTAAGGGATTGTACGTCAGTCAGAAGGTGAAATTGGCAAGAGGCACGCCTTTCCCCGTACGACACTTTGTGGCACTCGCAGCCTGGCATCCCTGGTCCAGCCAGTGATGAGATGAGCCGCATTTCCATGGATGTTTCCGGCCGTTGGGGAAGGAAGTGTAGTATCTCCGATGGTTGCGACATGGGAAACCGCTTTCTCCGGTTCTCTTTTGTCTTCTCGTCAACCCAATGCAGCTCAATGCCAGTACCGGAGCCAAAAGCAACGCATCCACGGCCCGGACAGATCGAGACGCTCCGGGGAGGATCTTCTGGGGAGCAGACATCGCGGAAATAGTGGATAAATGATGGATCCAAGGATTGCATGGCTTCTGGTTGCGCAGAGGAACGTTCATTTGATGCATTCAAGTCACAAACAAATCCCAAACGGTCACGTAGCAATGCCGCAATCACAATTTTCGGAGTACTGGTGTCGATACTAGCTGATATTACCTCGACAGGACAGATGATGCTGGTAACTGGAGCAATATCCAAATCTGTCAAAACGTCCATTGTTGTAGACACATCGCTTCCAGATTTCCGCGAGAGTAGATGATACACGTATATCATGCGGCCGGAGGTAACGAGAAGATAGTTGGCACACTTGCTGACATGGAATCTCGACGTGGCCAGAGGCCTCGAATCAGGGTTCATGACACTGCCAGCAACTGCATGGGGTGCAGAAACCCGGTGTTTCACGAGAGACTGTCCCTGAGATAGTCGAGAGAAATCAACGACCCCCGTTGTTAAAAAGCCAGCTCTTTCCACATTAGACTTGCGACCAGACAAGATACATTCAGTCGCAAATCTCCTGCTCATTCTCCACACCAGACTCTGCTCGCTTGCGGAAGGATCAACGCGGTAATTGTGGCAGTCCTGTTTCCAGGCGTCCCACCATCCTGCCCGCTTCAGCATGCTCTCCAGCAAGTTCTTATCGAGACTGGCACGCATCCATTGAGAACACGTTCGCCGAGCATTGTCGAAATCTCGCGGATTAAGCAAATAAAAGATTTGCAGCAGAATCTCTGGCGGCGTAATGTTTGCTGCAGGTCGGGAGAGCATTGTTGACGTCATTTTGCTAGATCAGATACCTTGGAGGCGTGTGAGAGACCGATCCTTCTGATACTGATCCGAGCAGGGGACGTGCGATTAATGTGATGTCGTGCTGGAGCCCCGGACTGACTTCTAACGACTCCGGACTTGGAGTCGTCAGCAGAGCTTTGGTTGATTGCAATTCAATTGCTGATGTCAGTTGTTGAGAATATAGTGTCAAGCGAGGCTTCACAGCTGTCGCATCCGAGAGGCAATCAGCACAAGTGCCCTACGAGTGCAAAAGGGCTGCTTCACAAAGGCTGGACGTAGGAAGCTCGGTACCCTTTCCACTTAGGCTAACTTGCCACAACCGCCCTTTCTCAAAATGTTCAGCAAGCGTTGACCTTCCAGCAGGTGGCAACAGGTCGAAGTTGTTAGCGCAACTGAAGACCCGCGGAAATTGAACAGGCAGGCAAATGCTCTATACAATTGCGAACAGGCTGGTTGTCGAGCAGAAGAAATTTAGATAAGAGCTGAGTATAAGAGGCAAATCCAAAATATCTGCATAAACGCGCTAGATAAGATTTCTATTGTTCGCCTCCGAGGACCATGGATGGGCATAAATATTTCCCGAGGGAACCGTTCTGACGTCGGCGCCAGGCCTCCAGAACACCAACAAGCAATGGACATATTTGCGTGTCTAGAGTCATCGTATAGGGAGCCAACCTTGTTCGAAATGCTGGAGAAGTGGAGTACCGAGTGTGAGATAGCCCGGATAGTGGAGCCAGTCAGTCCATGATTACCATCCCATGGCGAGAACGGGAACTAAAATTCTGCGTAATCCGGTCATGAACTTGGGGTGGCATCGCTCATCCCAGGAAAGCGTTGGATGAATCATGGAAGAGCTGTCTGGGGCGAATCAGTACAGCACCCGGCAAACCTCAAAACTCAGATAGACCGGAAGGCCAACTGGAAGGCTAGGACGATCCTGGGCGGGTCTCGTAGAAGGCGAAAATAGGTCAACTTAGTTCATCACTTAATAATCCGCATCGCCGTACCTGCACACATCTAATCCAATTCCTGCAATCTCCTCTGATCAGCTTACCTGACCGGCAAAAATAATTGATGGAAAGTACTCCGTACCATCTTGGATGAGTCGTCAACGGCGATGATTTGCTGGTATGCTTCCGATGAGCCAATAACTGGTTCAGGGGCCACGAATCAACCCCGAGATGGCAAATCGATGCCTGACCGTCCCAGCGTGCGATCAAAGTGCGAGAATAAGCCGAGGAAACCGCAGCGTAAACTCGGACGGACGTATGCGCATCGGGAAGGTATGAGGCTTGTCGAAGTCAAGACAATAACGGTCCAGAACGAGTTCGTCTAGGCACTATCCCGAGACCCGGAGCCATTGTTGATCACTTGATCACATTTGGCATATTCTAGAACAGAGTCAATATATTCCCATATCACAGTCGTAGTTATCAGCAGGAGGCTGGAAACAATATTGCTTATGATGGTCCGATATTGTGCATGCTGCAGCGATGGTTCTGGAATTTCATGCGGCTTGTCCACGTGCTCTCCCTCAGCGCCTGGCCTGGGGCTTCAGGCATTGCGTCTACCTATGGTATACTATGTACAACATCGGCCAACATAGGTACAATACTTCGTAGGGATGCGAGAGTGAAACTCAGTTCCATTCATTCAGCCATTCAATAAGCCAATAGCCACGTTCTTTTCCATTATCAAACTCAATTATGCTCTCATCGATTATGCATAACGACTTCGGAAGAATGAAGCCATTCTATTCATACCTGGTTTACCCGCTGCGCAGGAAGGCACCTTCTCTCAATGGAAGATTCCACTAGTAGAAGCAGAAGGAATGCGATAATTGACCATAGTTCATCTCCGGCCTTGCCTAAAAATCCTCCTAAAATAGCCAGAAGCCATGTCTCAGTTCGCTATACTTGTGAGTGCCCGACGTAGCGTCAAACCCAAGGCGACTGCGTCTCCGAGGTATAATCAAAGATATTCTACCGTACCTGTTCATTTTGGGGTGTGGACAGTGAGAATTCATTTGCGGGCTTCGAGCCGCCCACCGTCATTCTTCGGAATGAGTAGGTACATGTGGCAGTGTAGAATCCTCCTACACGCCTTTACATTGCATGGGTTCGAGTAGTAATGTTACATCTAGTCTAAATGGCTATTCTGGAGACTTCTGATGAAAGAGAAACAGACAGCGAGATAGACATCAACTGACTTGGTGTAAGAACCATCATATATGTAAAGATAAGAGCAGGCGATAGGAGCATGTGGTCAACGTGGACAAACAATAACGAGTACAGTACAGTTGTCTAGAGAGTGTGCGTAAAGAGTGAATCGCTGTAGTGAGAATAGCTGGACTGAAAAACAGGAAAAAGCAATATCAAAGCATGGGTCTTGCATAAAGAGTGAAATCCAAAGAGCCACCAGAAATCATTAGAGTCTCCATAATCTCACAGAAAGGTATCGCGGTCATTCATCATGAATTCATGAAGGTTGCAACAAAATCGAGAAACAGCTGGGTTAATAAAGTGAACATTACATATGGTATGGCATCTATAAGTGCAAGAAAAGAAACGAAGCTGGGCAGTTTGGCTGCTTAGATGAGTCGATGAAAGCCTGGTCGAGCCCGAAGGTTGGACAGTGCCGACTGGGTTAGACCGCGGAACCATTGCCGTTACGTGCCTCATGCGCGTCAAAAGCCCCCTGATATTCACGAACAGCGGAGTGTCCTGGGAGCCAGGCATCATCCAGAGGTAAAATGAGACTCGGATTGACATACTTCTTCAATCTCAGGCCGAGCTGTTGTCCGCCGATCTGTATAGGAAGAGCGTCACGTTCAAGTCCAGAAGGAGGCGAGAAGGTTGACGACGGGGAAGGCGAGATATCCCCGCCCCCAGGACGATTACGGTCGATGCTCTTCAATGCAATGAACTTCATTAGGGGTTCGTAGTGCTGCGCAAAAAAGTAGCTGAACCAAAGAGTCGCTCCAAGAAGGGGTACGAGCAGCAACGACCGAGTTATCGCTCTGCGCAGAGCGAGTACGCCGATAACGGCCAGCTGGAAGACAATCAAGCCCAAAAACACTCGACTGCAGATCATCGGCCAAGCTCGTCCGGTAGAGTGTTGCTGGTGATCCATAGCGTACAGTAGCTGGTATTTGTAAATGAATTTGCCGATAGTAAAGTAGACCAGCCCAAAAAGACAGATCAGCCAGGAGCTTGGGAAAACACTATACACCACGCAAATGATCAAAATAAGGATTGTCTGCGGAATGGAGTATCCATAGCTGAACGTTGGGGGGGTTTGCAGCTCAGCATAATCGCGCGGTGTTTTGGCACTGAGGAAGAAGAAGGGATATAATGCAACACTTCCGAACTCCAGGAGTCGGAAGGGAAATAGTCCCAGACCTTGTAGAATGATTAAGTTGATGTAAAAAGGTGCGAAAGACTCGAGAGACTTGGCCAAAGCAAATGCGATGGCGGTTGCATCCTTGAAAGCGTCTCGAAGTGTTTCCCAAAACTGGTAGAATGTTGTCGCTGTACCGAAAACAGTGAAAATTAGGAAGAGGTTGAAGAATGAGAAGAAGAAGTTCTTCGATATGACAGAGAGCTCGATATCGCCCCGCGACACCATACCCTGCTGGTTCGAGAGCCCTGTAATATGGTCAGTTAATCAAGTGCTCACTGGCCAAGGAAAGAGTAAACATACAATTGTATAGGTAAGGGACAGCAACCGTCAACAGCGAGAGGACCAAGGTTGGAAGACCTGTCTGCACCAGCGAACTCAAAATAGGGTTTCGAGCCAGGGCCTCAGCAAGCTGAGGAAACACCTTATGCAATGTCTCAAGTTCCAGCAGATAAGCGACGGGAATCAAAAGCACCGACCAGAAAACAGTCAGAAAACTGATGACCCCTGTAATGAACCATGACTGCATCATCCGTCTGGGGCGAGAAACATAGGTGTTCTTCCACACAACGTCCGCTGGGGCTGGTGCCAGCCTTGCGAACAATTGCATGGGATGCGGATCAAGAATCGCTTGAACGACCATCTGAGAGGAAGCGATAGATTCCATTGTCACGAACGCCATTTCCGTGGGCGGGTATTCCTTTTCACGAGCAGCCTGGATCTTCTCGTCTATCCTTCGAAGTTTCTCCTCGTAGTAATCAATCGCGTCGACGTTCCTGTACCTCAACTTCAGCGGCCCGTACCAAAGTCGGATTGTTGGTCGCTTCTGGACATGTTCAGAAATATGTGCCCTCCCACTTTCAGAAAGAAGCTGTGTGTGCTCGCTATCCCCATCCGACAACAGACTGGAACCTCGAGGTTGCTGGCGCGTCAAAGAAATCGAGTTTTCGGAGTGTTTCGGTCGTTTGTACCCCAAATGTTTAGTCCAGGCCCATTCTAAATTTCGCAAGATCTTTAAGCGTTCATCGATCAGATGATCAAGCTCGCGCCAGTCGCGGCACAAAGTGACACTCTCCACGTTTCCAACTCGCAACCCTTCCATAAATTCCTTGATCTTCTCTTCAGATGCCAATTCCTTGGGTATGCCTGAAAGACGGATAGTGCGATCCGTTGTACTGGTCTGACTGCCAAGATAGTATTGTCGGATGCTGATGATTTTGTTCGTCTCCTGAAGAAGCATGTATATCGCCAGACCGCTGAAGATATACGTGAAGACCACATACATCCACAAATAGTTCGGGTCCGAGATCAACTTCTTTTTTCCGTCCTTCCCGTCATCGCCATCGTCATGATCCCAATCCGGCATCCCGTATTTGCCGGTATACTTGAAATGAACTGGGCCGATTATAATGACGGCGAACACGAAGACAATACTAAGAAACCGGATTGCGAATTTGAAGAACGAGAGGAACTATCCCGGTGGTCCTCCGTTAGCCATAAAACAACACGTACTCAAAACCAGTAGCGCACTTACGACGAACGCATCCAGCCCCGCAGAATTGAGTACTTGTTCGTCCGTTATCCGAAACAGAACCGGCATCCAGCCAAAGAAGGTGTCAGGGAGTTCGGGCAAGTGAGAAGCAGCGCAGCGCTGTCGTCTCCGCGCAGCATACAGCTCCCTCCACTTCGGCCGTAAGATCTGTTCGCGATGCTCTGTTAGGAAGTAAATTGGACGCAAGGATCAATTCAACATACACAAAATGACATGAACGCGCTGAGCCCTAGTACCAGACTTATCACAAGCTGCGTGTATGTATCCCGCTGGTTCTTCGTCTGATCTGTCCATTTCCGCCCATGGTCCCCGGTCTCAGCTGCTGCTGCTGCTGCCGCGACCGTTCCCAGAGCCCTCACAGCGGACTCTGTGAGAGACATGGCTCTCGAGATGCACCAAGCGTGTGCTGAATTAATGTGTCGATCGTGGCGTTCACGTATACATACGGCACGCGGTTCTGTCCCAGCGGAAGTGGTTCGGGCAAAAGAGAGCTGACGTCAGGGGTGGAGTTTCGTATAGAGCACGATGTTGCGGTCTGGCTAGGGATGCAATCGCTCTGCAAAGAATCAATGCAGGTAAAGAAATACCGAGGAGTAGTCGCCTGTGTCTTAGCTGCCGTATCGAGGATCTCTGAGAATTTGAATCACGTTGGGCTTCTTTCTTTAAGCTCAAACAAAGCCATCGCCAAAGTTGTACTAGTGGGGATGATGAGTTGTGCAGACTACTTAGTCAGCAGATGGTGTTCGTAACTAACTAACTAACTTAACTAACTAACTAAGCAAGTACTATGCACACAAATAGTGCACAACTTTTATGAATGAGATAAACGCATGGGATCGAGAGTATCTTATATGGTATACGGATATCATAACTTTGTCTACTTCTAATATGCAAATGTTATATCCAATCCTCTTCAACAAATCATAAATCCCGAAGCTTCCCTCACAAAATGTCAAGAATGTCTGGAGGCGTCATAATATAGGTCAAGTAAGCAACCTGCCGACCATGACTGAGTGGGACACTGTACCAGAATTGTATTAGCTTTCATGTATAAAAGTACAGAAGGTACGGTAGGCGTCTTACAGAGTCTGCACAGTGAGCTCCGTTCTTGTTTGTAAGCTCTGTGAGGCCCTTCCATGGACTCTCCCTCAGCGCGCGCTTGCAACCCTCTAGGCGTCGAGTCACTTGTTGATACGCCTCCGTCCGTTCCTCTGCTGTCTTCCGGCGCTCAAGGTCAAAGTGCAGGAAAGCACGAAGAAAGAATCCCCGCTGCCAGACCCATTCGGGTCCCTGGTGGTAGTTCCTACCCTTGGCAGTCGCGAAATTGTCCGAGTCTTCCGAGTTGTTGTAATTGGGGTTATAGTTGAGATCGGATGGATCCAGAGTAGCGACACCGATGGGGCCGACAATGACAGAGTCTGCGAGAGCCAGAGCTCCCAACGCTTTCGACGGTGTGAAAAGGTCTGGAGACACAGTCATGGCAATGGGGAAATTGGCGCGGAGCTGATAGTCCTCATACGGCTTGCCGGATTTGTAAAGATCTTTGTAGATACCCCGGCGATTGACAATGCTGGGGTCAACATCATACTGACCATCTTCCTCGGGGCTTTCTGGGACATAATAGCAGCGTTCAAAGTTCTGCTTGATCTTCGCCGCCCATTCCTTGAAAGTGATCGACCTCCCTTCCGCAATGTCAACCTTGTCGTGTGGGTAGAGTCCGCGCTCATGCAAGCGGGAAACCCAAGTCAATGCGCTATAAAGCAGCCCGGTGATCTCGATTGCGGCACCATCGCGAGGTGTACCAGGAACGCCCTTGTTTCCCGCCTTTCCGCTTTCTCCCATCTTGTCTTGCCACGTACCGCAGTTGTGTTGACTACCACCGAAAATTATTCCCGTCTCCCAGTCGACTTTGACATCGATCTGGAAGCCTTCCGGCTTCATTTGCATGTCGAGATCAGGCCCGGCGTTGTGCTCTCGGAATGACAATCCATGCGCGTGTCGCTGGAGCACTTCTTGAATGACCTGCGAAATAGTCGAATGCTTTGAATATGCCCTAGGGTCATCATATGCAAACCAGGTATCGTCGTAAGGCACAAAGCGTCTGGCAACCGTCTCGTTCAAGATTTCAATGCCGTTGGGCGCCATTTTTGTGTAGTCCTGAATGGCCTGGAGGAAGAACCACACGGAATCCCGAGAATTGTACCGGGGTAACTTGCCACTACTTAGGAGGTTCGGGATCATGCCGTGTTTGAGTACACTGGCAAATGCTAGGATATGCTCCTTGGCGTCATCAAAACGGGCGGTGCAAAGAAAGAGGCCTCGAAGGGCTATGAAGATGTCACGGCCCCAGCATCTCGCCCAATCCACTGCAAAATGCGGAAGACCAGCTGCAAGACTGGGAACGGTCTTTGTAGGCCAAAGAGATGCGGATTTCACAATGCCAGTTACCTGCACACTGACCATGCCCAGTTGATGGATGAATTCCTGTCCCTGCCGTACATCGGGTCCCAGCAGCTGAACGCCACGCTTCCATGCAGCATTGTATGCTACCTGGATAATGATACCGAAGTACCTCGGTAACAGAAAGCTTGGTAAATCACGGACCGCCTGAAACTTCTCTTGCAACCATTTAGCAGGCTTCTCCAGTGCAGTGTATCCTTCCTTCTTTGCGGCTTTCTCCATGCGCCCGACGATGAAATCTAGAGCCCACTGGCCGTGACGGAGATGGTCGCAAAGTGGATGGCCTAGTGCGTTGTACCTGATGATATCTTCCAAGACGCTCCACCATCCCTGAAGACCGGCGTAGACCAACGGCCCATGGTTGGGGACGTTGTAGACCCCGTCCTGGCCTCCGCTCAAATCCCTTTCTTCCGCGTCACAGCGGTAAAGGACGAAATTGAGATCGACCAGACTAAGCTCTGCAAAAGCTTCGTCCGCTCCCTCAGAGATGTGGTTCTCCAAACCTGCTGCATGTTCAGCCTTGGCGATGGACGTCTCAAAGAGTGCGATAGATCCCGGAGCGAACGTATCGAGAACTGAAATAATGGTATCATCGCCTTGCTGTTCGGCCTTTGTGCCTTCGAATTTCCGAATCCGACTGGGCAGTCCTCGCAGGTGATCCTTATCCGATAGGATTTCTGCTCTCATGCTATCGCTCGCGTCTACTTCCAAGTTCCAAGTTCCGATGTGCTTGGCCTGCGTTCCAACGAGATGAGTGGGCGCAAGAACCGCATTAGTACTATGCCCCGGGAAAGCAGTGTGAGCGATCAGGAAAATCCCTCTGCGCGTTTTAGGATGCACTCTGTGAACGGTGATGTATTCTCCGTCATGGTGGATATGCGTTTCATCGTATCCCTCCACTCCCATCATCGTGTGAAGTTCATTCAACAGCTTCTTGACACTCCCAATTCCGCCGCTTTCACAGTCATGATGAACCTCGGCTGATTTCGAGAACTCCGAAAAGTATAGCCGCTTTTCGTGAACAAGGTCCACAAGTTTGGGATATATCTCGTCATAGCCCATGACGCTTCCGATGGCAGAGGCGCACATCGAAACCAGAGCAGCATTGGGTAATGTGTCTCTTGCATCACGTTTCTGTGCTGGTGTTTCGTTATCATGTGTACAATCCATGAAAAGTGCTTGAACAGGACAGGGACGAATATGAGAGATCTTTTCTCGATTCTGGTTGACCCCGGCGGAGGCAATCGCATGACTGCTTCCCGCTGACGGCAGCTCAACATCGAAACTGCCTATGGGACGGCCGCCATGACGATGGACCAACCGACTTAGCTCGCCGGTACTCCAGGCTTGCATAGCCTCGCGAATCAGAGCATTTATACCAAGCCGCTTAACAAAGATGTAGTCCGCTTCTTCGGACCCCGTAAAGAGCTCGGCAAAGACTGTAAGATTTGGTCGGACTTTACGCGCCTCATCCAACAGATATTCTGCAACTGCCAGTGGCGTTGAGTGGCAATTATCGATCCGGAAGCCGGAGAAGTATTTGGCCATAAGGCGGGTGTACTTAGTCATATAGTCCCAAAGGAAAGGATTGTCCTCAGGAGATGAGCCATATCTGAGCTTGACACAGTCGCCCCAAACAATGACTTCACGACGCAAATAGGCTTTTGAATCAGGACCAGCATTATCCCGCATAGCATCCGCATTCCAGATCCAGCCGTTGTTCACAAGGGCTAGTGCTTTGGGGCTATGCTTCTTTGTGATATCATTAAGAGGTAACCTGGTGAAGTAAGTTTCAATCAGAGGATTTTCGTCCGTGACAGGCCCAAGTTTCGGACCATGGTCGTCAATCCTGATGTACCTGATTCGGTTAAACAGTTGATTCATAATTTCAGAGACGTCTGCATTGTACTCCTCGTAGAATGGCAGATTGACCTCATCCAGTATAGTTGCCAGCGCCTTCTCAATCGAGGCAATATCGGAGTTTGAAGAGTCATACTTCCCGAACATAGTAGTCAGGATCAGAGACCCGAATTCAGGGTCAAGCGCTCTGCCGAACCGTCCCAAAACCTGCTTGATCGTGGGAATGGCATGTTGACGTACGAGATCTGCCTGCTGCTTCAAAGGCCAATCTTTGAATCCGCCGATATCCACTTCAGCATATTTCTTGGACGCGGAGTGTTTCAACCCAGAAGCTTTCCAGTTTTCTAGGATATGCCCAGCGTTGGCTTTGACATCAATGACATAGTACTCCCAGAGACGGATGCCACTGATTACCTTCTCTCGTAGTGCGGTCATGACAGCCAGCAAGTCATCCACGGTCTTAAATTCAGTGGGCAAACCTAGTTTCTCAAGGTCCTGACCGAACTTCAATAGAGCGGTGTCCAATTCTAAAGCCGCCTCAAGCCATGGTGCAGTTTCCACGCTATAACCAGCCTCTGGATGCTCCTCGAGCCACTTGCTATTATGAGCAGTGTGATTCCACACAACATCGGTCAATGACAGAAGTCCATATTCCTTCTCCATTTTCGAGATCATTTGCGCAACATCTACCTCACCGTTGGGAAAAGCACCGTCGTCGAACTGCAACTGGTCAAAGATACTATATGGAGAATTTGAAGCTCCGCGCTTCATCAACGGTGTAAAATGCACCATGTTGTAGTTGCGCTGGCTGATACCATTCAAGTGTCTGTCCCAATCCGTGGGATATTTGCCCATGAATTTAGACAACACGGAGAATATAGAGAGCGCATTGAGAGGCAAATCTTTACCACGAAGCGTCAACCTCGGTGCGACATCGACGTAGTAATCAGGTGTTCTCGCTGGTTCAGGGGTCGGAACAGGGCCGACAGAGAATTGAGGTAGGGGCGTGAATGTGGTGTGGAACAAAAAGGATCCAGGACAGGTAACAGGAATATCGATCTGGATATTCTTGTTGAAATCTGGCTCCAATCTGCGACACAATTAGGCATATGACGGGCTTCTTTTCAGGTCGGGACTTCTTCTGACCTGAAGCTCCGAAATACCGAGCGATCAAATGGCTTGCCAGTCTCGGGAATGTTCACCCATAGTGTTCCCTCCCTGCAAATCGAACTGCTTCCCTCTATCACGAAACGCAATAGATATGCAGGATTACTGGGCGGTGGGAGATATATATATCCCCCAGGTACATCTGGAGAGCCATCATCTTTCAAAGGGAGCAAGTAAACCTGCTGCGGAGAGGCCATTACTTCTGACAGTCACTTCGAGACCGTATTTGCTGATCCCGAATATCCTAACAGAACAGTCGCTCCGTGGGGTAGGTAGCCTCCGATGTTGGCCTGCGGAGAGTTGTCGGTGTACCGACTTGGGTTGATGACTCAGGATAGGCCACCGAGGAACACGTAATGAGCAAATTGAAAGGGATACAAGTGGAAAGTCAATTGCGGGAGAAAGGATGGGTGCAGCTTATCAACGATTCCACGGATGTGCCTGAAATCTGAAAGTCACTCAAAGCCCCGCGGGGGGCCGTGTGACATCATGCATCCAGCCATTCCCTGGCAGCGGGGAAAAACATTGAAGCCACAGGGTCTGGAACGAAACAACTCGATCCACGGACCTCCTCGACGTAGATCTCACCCCTAGATACTTGTTTAGGACTGTTAATGAACCAGGGGTTTATGCGGTTCTATGTCATGATAATAATAATAATATGAAGCAACTGATAAGAGATTTCCAGTCTCAAAGTAGAGAAGTGGAATCGTAGGTGACTAAAATTGAACCGTATTGCTTTCTATGCTCAACTTCCATCTGTTCTATGCGCTGAATTAGACAGTGACAAATTATTTACCAGATGAAACAATGCCCCCAAGGAAACGATATTAGTATTTCCCATGCCCCCAAAGCAGGCTATTATAACCTGGCCATGACAGCCTGACCGGCGCCACCACCGTTGACCCCATCCACTCCGTTAGGTACTGTACTCGGTTTGCTGTCACAAGGAAAAAAAACATGAGCACAAAAGAAAAAGACATGACATCAGGTCCTAGGTATTTACCGCTCAATATAAGATGGAATAGACTCAACAGACATGGAGCCCTCAAGAATGCCTACCACCGGATCAGTAAATGCGAACGAATAAAGCGGCACAGAAAAGGAGAGGGGCTCTTACGATAAACTGCAGTGAACAAAGGAAATTCGTCCTCAAGACCTTGCTTCTTCAGAAACTTGTTCACCTCAACGGCAGTCAAAGTACCCTGAAGCTTCTGGCCATTGAGCTCCGTTTCCTCGATTTTGTCGATGGGCTGCTTCCGCTCAATGCTAAGTTTGGCGCAGCGGAAATTACGCCCACCGCTGCAGCTTGTGATCAAATCGGCAACACCTGCACTCTCCTCGGTGAAAGTCCTCGTGTCGACAGTTGCACCAAAGAATCTTTCACCGAACTTGACCATTTCAAGAAGGCCGACTCGCATGATTGCAGCTTTGGCGTTGTCACCCCAGCCCATGCCATCAACCCATCCCGCAGCGAGAGCGACAATGTTTTTCAGAGCACCCCCCAGAGAGACTCCTGCAACGTCACTCACTACCCTAATGTGGAAATAGGGGCGATGGAAGAGGGTCTTCAGGACGGTGTGGTCAACGGGAGGGTATTCGGACGGCAGTGGCTGCAGTTTAACCTGCGAAAGCTGGCCAGAGACATCCTTGTGCTCAAAGTGAACTACATCCACAGTGGATGCAGAGGGGGATCGATTCGGAGACGGGGCCTTAGAATCCAGGTGTGGGGGGTCATAAGCGATGCTCGACTCGCACCACTTCTCCTGGGCAACCTCATTGGCGATGTTCGCACCAGAAAGCGCGCCGCAGTAGATTCCTAGGGTCTTGCCAATAGTTTCAGAAAACAGACTGACGCCCTCCTCGGTCACGTCGACGCCCTTGATGCAGGAAATACCACGGGCATAGGGTAAAATTTTGCCCTTGATTTGTTCGCAGGTCTTGTTGATGAACTGGTGAGGGAGATTGAAGATGAGGATGGTGCTGTCTTTCACAGCATCTACCACAGACGGGTTGGCGTGGATGTTCTCAGGAAGGGCAATTCCGGGTAGGTACTTGACATTTTCATGTGTCTTGTTGATTATCTCGGTCAAATTCTGGGGACCCTGACACAAGGGCGAAGATGGGTCGTAGTGCCGGGAATTCTTGGGGATCTCGACCTTCTCCTCGAATACCCACATTTGAACATCTCTCTCGAAGATGGAGTCGTGGCTGGCGGTATTCTCAGCGACAATCTTAGCGATAGCAGTGCCCCTATTCAAGAACATGGAGTCAGCTTCCAATTTCGCATTCGAACTGCAACCAGCATATCATAAGCATACCAGTTCCCTGAGCCAACTACGGCCACCTTGTGCTTCCGGGGGTGCGGTGATAGAGAGCCCATCTTGGATGCTTCGATCGTATTGTTGAAGGTAAATCTGATACTGCTACCAGACATGAACCGAGCAGAACTGAGAGCTAGCGGTTTAAAAGCCCTTGAACTGATCGACAGAGGCGAAATTTTTCTTATGATTCGAGTGGTTAGGAACTGAGAAGCCGGGGACCGAGGCAAGATGGCAGTGGCACGAGACTCAGGAAAGCAGGTCCGACGAGATAAAAGGCGCGCTGGAGACAGCATCCACGGAGTTCTGCAAGGCGAATGGCAAATCTTTCAATCAGAGACCTTGTGGTGGCCCTCTGATGTAAGACCGAAATGGACAAGGCGGGTTTGGTACCCGTGAATGTGGATCTTCCTGCCCCGATTCCGAGTCGGCGGCTAGGGTGCTAAGGGAAATCGAAATTTTGCGAGTTGATAGTGTTCAATTTTTCGGTCGGCATGAAAAGTACTTACTATCTATGTAGCCGTACGTCTCGTTGGTTGGCTAAACCAGTACGGAGTAGTACTAGTGATTATCAGTTAGGGGCACACCAAAGACGACGGAGGAGATTTAGCAGGACTACTAGACTGGGGTCCACTTGAGGTCTCACTCAAAGGGGGGAAAATCACGCACTGTTGAGGTAATCATGTGGGCGGTGAATGAGGGGCTTATCGAGAACATGGGGGTTATCTACACTAGTCCACAACAGGATTAGCACGGAGAAAAGAATTCCAGCTGCGATGATCATAGACAGTCAGCTTTTTCATAGTTTGCGTGATACTTCTTGGATGCACAATTCTCTTGCTTTCAACATGGTAAGACTCTTGTTGCCCCAATTGACGTATAAATCTAACAGGTATGCTATCTCAAGGCTCCCATCCGCCCGAACAAGAAGTCAGCCACCACCACCAACAAGCCCTCTGGTGGAAAAGGTGCCGTTCCATCCACCAAGTCGGCTTATTTTGAAGACGACTTTCGCACAACAAAAAGAGATAAGCGTATAATCAAACATGCCAGCTTCGTATCAAAGATTGAGAAGAGCTCCCAGAAGAGCCCTAAGCGGCGTCGCGCATCAAAGAAGCTCGTTGCCAATCTCGAGTCGCTTGCCGATGCCTTGCCCGAAACAGAAACGGAAATGAATGATCCCAGCAGTCAAGTGAACATCATCAAGCAAAAAACTTTGCAGCATAAGCCAGGTGCGATGAAACGCAGACAGAAGCTAGAGAAGGTGGAACGGGATCGCTTCGCGAAGAACATGGCTCAGATGGCGACCATTCATACGAATGTGCAACCTGTGGCAGAGACTCAAAATGAAGCCAGCTCCACTTCGAATCGGTGGGCAGCATTGCGAAACTTTATCTCACAGACAATGGAGCAGCAGCCCGCTTTTAAGACGAAGCCATGAGCGCACTTGAAATACGTCGATATTCTACGGAAGGGTGTTTAGCCAATCACACCTGTCGTGTTCTGTACGGATGAGAAGCTCGATCGACCTCGACCCGAAACTGTGACCTATTTTGGTCATAGAGGCCATGCCCTATAAGACGGGATCGAGCTGTGCGGGGACGCCTTTTCATCGCGCCAGTCGGTGGAAGTGCTGCTTTGCCGAACCGGGCGCCGCTCAGGCTCCATAGGATGTGCTCATAAAGTAAAGCCCATATCCACACTAGAAGCAGCTCAGGGGGATGTCTCTTGGTCTTGAATCGCCGAAGCCTCACCCTTGAGACTCAAGACTCGACAGAACCCTGGGATTTGGCTGGATCTTGAATCAGTGCGTCGGCTGCATTTCTAGCCAGCCTTGAACATAATAGTCATTACACACAATGACAAATGGCAGCACGAGATAGTGTCGAGAATACTTCTGAAAATATTAGAAATGATTCGTCTGGCTACTGGGGTTCTTTTCCTTCTGACACGGTTTAAAATATGTGGCTTCACCTTCGCTTCAACCACCGAATCATGTGTAGGAATTTTTTCTTTTCCTTCTTGGACTCATATTTGCTGCCATTTCACTGCCATTTCAGACTTGCATGGAGCCGTCTTCTTGGGTAGAGTGATCACAGCGCGACGGCCCGTCGAATACCGTCGGCCGATATATCGCTCACGTGCTGCGGGGAAAGCTGTCAATCCCCATCATCTTATCAGCGTCATCCTCGCTGCTTCGCCAGATCTCATAGACTTAACTTGCGATACACTTGTCTACCTTGGAATTCTTCCTGAGATCTTTATAGATAATCTGGCGCCTGGTGATGCTGCGACTACCGGTCCGCGCTCATAGCCTTAAATGTGCCTCAAGAGCACGTCGCAGTTCCCTGCTCCGTTATCGGCATGTAGCTATCTGCCAGACTTATCGGGCAAATCGCGGTTTTACATCTTCTGCTCAATCCTTTCCCACATCCTCCGAGTTTAATAGATCGGATTTTACGAACCAGCCCTGGTCTGGCATCTATGAAGCTGGGTTACCAACCGCTGGCCCTCTGGGGTCCACTCCGGCGTTTGGGGCTCCTCGCATAACACCCAAGACATTGAAACAATATCTAGATCAGTTTGTGGTTGGACAAGATCGAGCAAAGAAGATTCTCAGTGTCGCTGTATTCAACCATTACCAGCGAGTGCAAGAGCTTCAACGAAGAGAGGAAGAGAACGCGGAGTTGCTAGCAAGGCGAGCCCGGAGACAAGCATTGGAGCATCATCCTGCAGAGGGTAAGCTTTATATCCCTTGATATCCTTCTCAAACTACGCTAAACATTGAAAAGACGAGTTTCCAGGACAGCAACGCACCGTTCATTTACCCACCAGTCCCAAGTCGACGACGTCCAATCCCGATGAAGCACTTCTTAGCGATTCGTCTCCACTTCAATTGGAGAAATCCAACATCCTCTTACTAGGACCATCGGGGGTGGGCAAGACACTGATGGCCAAAACACTTGCAAGAGTTCTCTCGGTTCCATTCAGCATATCCGACTGTACGCCGTTCACGCAGGCAGGATATATCGGAGAGGACGCCGAGGTATGTGTTCACCGACTTCTCGCGGCTGCGAACTACGACGTGGAGCAAGCCGAGCGGGGGATTATCGTGCTGGATGAAGTGGACAAACTAGCGGCCGCAAAAGTCAATCATGGGAAAGATGTCAGTGGGGAAGGAGTGCAACAGGCACTGCTTAAAATAATTGAGGGCACAACAGTCCAAGTTCAAGCGAAGCAGGAGAGGAATGCTCACCGAACAAGTGGTACCCCGAGCTCATATCCATCAAACAACCCTTTAGGAAACCCTCCGTTCTCGCAATCTCCTACAGGCAACGCCCCCCAGAAAGGGGAAATATACAATGTGCGCACTGATAACATTCTGTTTATATTCTCAGGCGCATTCGTGGGACTTCATAAGGTCATCATGGACCGGATATCACACGGCTCAATGGGATTCGGCCAACCTGTCCGCTCACAGTCGAGTCCAACTCATCGACCCGGTGATCCGCTCGCCACTACATCCAACCAGCCTGTTCCCATCCTACCAGGATCCGAAGAAGAAGCCTTGTACAAGAAACACCTGCCATTCTTCACAGCAGCTTCACCCACATCACCAGACGGCGAACCACCCTATTTCAACGCCCTGGACCTCCTCAATCCCACAGATCTGCAAAACTACGGCTTCATTCCAGAATTAATAGGCCGTATCCCGGTCACCGCTGCACTCTCAGCACTCTCTCAACCCTTACTTGTCCGGATTCTAACAGAACCCCGAAACTCACTGCTTGCGCAATACACCACCCTCTTCTCCCTCTCGGGCATCGAGCTTCGCTTCACAACCCCGGCCCTGCACAAGGTCGCGGCCAATGCCTTTGCAATGGGAACTGGGGCACGCGCCCTCCGTACGGAGATGGAAAATATTCTAAGCGATGCCATGTTCGAGACACCTGGTTCAAGCGTCAAGTTTGTGCTCATTACGGAGGCTGTAGCAGATCGTAAGGAGAGACCGATATACCTTTCCCGAGGCCAGGGCGGCCGTTTTCATTCCTTGATTGCAGCCGAGGAGAGCAAGTGGGAGGAGAAGGTGCGGAGGGAGAAGAGCGAGAAAGAGAAGAAAATAAAAGGTCAAGTGTCTGAGAATCAACCTAGTATCGCCAATTTTCGAGAGTATCGGACTCGTGCAGCGGGATTTTAGGCGGGATATGCTGTGTGACCTGACGGTCATCTAAGCGAGTTTTGATTATATACGACGCCGGCACACAATACCTACATAGTCATGGATCTGACCAGGCAAACTTCAAGCAGCGAGCGGTTGGGTTTTATATGCTAAGTTCGTACGGCGTTCGGAGAATTCTGGAATCTAGCGAAGGATAGGGATCTTGCCTCTGTTCATTGTCTTTCTGATCACTGGCCATTATTCTGTTGACCTTTGATGTAAAACCTTGCTACTACATGGGTATCTGATACAATCGCCCCTTGGACCAAAGGGCATGAAAACAAGAATATGAAACAGTCCGTCTAACCACAGAGCAAAAGTAAAGCTTTTTCAGTTCATTGATATGGTTGAGGGTATTTCAGCCTCGAAGGGCCGTGAGACAACTCATCGACCCTCGAGACATCCAACCCATCGGCTGAAGGACCATTCGCTCCAGGCGTCCGCGGTGTATAGGCAGGATTGTGGCTCCGGGATTTCGCCTCGGATGACAGACCTGGTTTCCCTAGCCTAGGCTTCACTTTGTCCCAGTACGTCTTGTACTCGACCTTGAAGGTCTTCATAAAATCTTTTGCGCCATATCTGATCTCAATATGTTGCCAGGCTTCCCATCTCGGTAGAGGTTTCACTGCCGTGAGCATGACGAACCGTCTGAACCTGTGGTTGTTGACTATTGCCCAACCGGCAAAGAATTCTCCCAGGTGGTCGGTATTCCTTTGCTCATGCGTGAGGCCTTTATGTATATTCGCATCATCATCTTCGGTGCGCGACCCATAGAGTGGGATGGCGTCGAGTGAAATCACAGGATCTTCGTTGTGCTCACCGCTGGCACCGCTGAGAATATTTCCACTTGTCCGTTCTGAGCCTGCCACACGACTGTTCAATTGAAGGATCAGAGCATACATGCTCAAAAATCTGAGGTATCGGGTTAGAGGGAGAAAGCGACAAGGGTACATAAGGGACTTACATTCCCTGCCTGAATGGATCCTTCGATTCAGATTGCTTCAGGAGCCAGTCCAGGATATTTGGACGGAACATGATCTTCCAACTCCCTGGGAATTTCTGCTTTATCCAATCCTTTAGCCACGCCAGGATGATGAGTGTGGCGTCTGGGTCCCTAAGCATGAAGTCTTCTGTGATGAGGATGACACCACCATGAGGGAATACGCGTTGGAAATACGTGGGGTGGTCAGCGTATTGTAGTGGCTTTCTTAAAGAAAGGCTCCAGAAGCTCACGCTCCGATGGATCAGATCCCTGATAAAAGGTAGGGCATGGTAATTCATAAAGCTTTCATGAGCCTTCATTGAGTCAGCGCAGCTGCTGGATAATTAGTGAATGGTGCTTCCTGACTGACCAAGACAACCCCCTTGTGTATTGTGCGTGCAAATCTCTCCCAATCTTCCGGAAGGCGGTTTGAATAAGTCACAGCATTGTGCCTTCTCAGAAACTCGTGCATAACTTCGTACTCTTCCTGCACTACTTCGGACCCGGCAGGAAACATCAAGTAAAATACTTGAGCCTTCGTAGGTTTCTCAGCATCGTTCACAGTCGCCAGGAGAGCATAAGTAACACCAAATTGTTCTTTGAAGACCGCATCTAGATCAAGACTATTCTTAGACGGCTGCGACGGCGAATTAACATCGACCGCAACAGACTGAGACATACTCGCGTCATGCTTGAGGCGAGGAAATTCAGGGCCTGCCTCTGGCGCTGTTCGAGCCTCAGAGCTCATAGGTGAGGTCTCGGTTGCTGGTTGCGGAGTTCTGTGTTTCGGCAATGGAAGCTGCCATGTTGATAATAGTGCGCCGGTTTCTTGTGCGGGATCTCGTACAGCTACATTCACAAGCTCTAAATCTCGCGGAGTGTTTTGGGGTGCCACTTGCAAATTGTCTGCGCCAGAGTGTTGAGTTGACAATTTTGGGGTTACACTAGTTGTGTTTGTTGAGTTTGAGTCATTTGCTGCATCGGACGGTTTCGTCACGTCTGACGCCTCAAATGCTTTTGGTGGCAAGACTCTGCTATCCCTCGGAATTCGAATGCGAAGGTTGGACATGTCATTGACAGGTCTCGCGGCTTCCGGAGCCGAAACACCAGGAACGCCCACAGAACGTGGCCGAGTAGCCATAGCTCCGGTGGTGGGAGCTCTGCTTGGAGCATCTGCGGCATTTATGAGTGCGAGGGGTATTGGCTTGTGCGACCCAGCATGAAGCCGTTTTCTTTCACGCCGAGCAGTGATGGTGTCAAACCCTCGCAACTGGCTTCGGACTGCGACATTTAGGAAAACGTCCTCGGGGATTCTAAAATGGGCAGAATCTGCATTGAGGAACGCAAAGTCTGACGACTTCGGGGAATAGGCAAGTAACACGTTCGACATTCTGCTGCCTGGAGCTGGATATGATATGGCCACAAGCTCATTGCGACGAAGTTCTTCCCCAATTCTGTAGATGCTCGGCTCTGTATCATCGAACCCTTCTATCCAAGCATCGGAGTACTTCTTATTGTTTTTCTGCTCCCGGTCAACAACAAGCGCTTTGATGGGAGTAAACAAAACCAGACTGCAAAGCAGAAGAAGCAAACAAACTTCGACAGAGTCTTCAGAGCAGCGAATGAGAAGAAAGTCGGAAAAAGTTGACTTACCGTGCTCTCACATAGGACATTATACTCTTCCAGGTCACATGTATGTTGAAACCAGACATTGATTCGGCTGCCCCTTTTGGTAGACATGAGCCTGCTTCGACTCTCAGGACTCAGACCGCATAGCCTGGCCGAACCGATTTCCTTCTTCTCGTGGCCGTAATAAAGATAGACAAGGAGCTCACCCTGGTTCCAGAAGTGATGTTGGCGGTTCTTGACGACATAGGCCCCCGGCTTTGGTTCCCTTGTTGGAAGCTTGGGTATCGGATAGTCTTCGAGTTCATGGCGATGGATTGGGGGGCTGGTATTGGGTCTCACACTGTCACCGGAAGGTTGGCTTGCACTCCAGCTATCTGGCAGTGGACGGTCTGGTCTCCACGTATCTGCACCGCACGCTGGTCTATATGTGTCTGGGACGCTGTCATTCGGCTTGTATGACCCATCCTGTGCGCGTTCCGGTGAACTCAGGGCCCAATTCTCCCGAGTTTGGCCAATCTGGCCTTGAGTCTCATTATCCGAATCAAGGTTTATTGGCGAACCGACATCTTGCGACCTTGGATCCAATGCACTGTCATTGATTCCATTTGACACGCTGACGTTATGCATGCCTAGTCTGCCCGAAGTAACTGACTTAGGAGAGCTCACATTATATGAGCCTAATTTCACCAGACTTGCATTGAATTGCTTCGACGAACTAACGTCGTGTGATCCAATCTTTACGCTACCCAAGTCACCCAGCTTTGGCGAGCTAACATCATGAGGACCTAGCTTGGCCGAGCTTGAGTCATCCTGCGTGGGTGAGATCACGTTATGAGATCCGAGCCTAGCGGTACTGGCGTCATTCTTCGCGCTAGGTGAGCCGACACTGTGCAGCCCTGTCTTTGACGCGGCGAGCCCAGTCCTGGCTGGCCAATCGGATGGTCGAATGAGTTGCAGCTTGTTCATATCAGGAGGTGGCTCATAAGCTTTCGCCTTCTCGTACTTCCATCTCGTCGACAAATTGAACAGCTTTGGCGTCTCAGAACTGTTCATCCTTTTCGGGCGTGTGGGAGCCGGAGCAGTTCCAAATAAGATAGGTGGAGGTGGCCTTTTTGGAAGTTGCTGAGTTTGTAGTTGCGCACTTCCTGTGCTGCCATTCGTTCGAGTTTGTCCGGATGAAGCCTTTGATCTGTCGACTTCGATATCATTGAAACCAATATCATCAGGTATTCTTGGGTCAGGCACGATATTACTCGGAGGACTCTCCGCAGCAGGATGACTTTGCTGGGCTCCGTCAAGCCCCAGACGTCTCCTCTTTGCGGCTCTTCTTTGCTTCCTGTCATGTTTCGCCCTCTCAAGGGCGGCTAGATGATTTTCAAACCTGACAAGATCAAATGCCGGACGCTTCCCTTCAGCAATTGCCTTTTTCTTCTTATTCCAGTCAATCAAAGTCTGTTCATTGCAAAAGGATTCGGGCGGTTCCCATGTGCATCTTTCAATAGGGTAATTGGCCCACTTCACCAAGTATTTGATGCCATCGTCAAATTCGAGCTCAGCCAAGATAGTTTCCACTTCATACTCAGACTCCTGCTCACTGGGTGCAGTTGACGTGATCGAGATATCATCATCGTCGTTCATGTCGACATCAAGCTGAAATGGTCTTTTCCATCTGAGCATACAGAAGCGAGATATGGAAAGCTAGAGCGATGGCAATGAGACCAGAAGGGTTCAAAAGAATCGATATTAAAATGATCTGATGAGGGATGAACGTAGTTCAATTCGGATAATAAGATGTCAAGGAGAAGTGACAGAGTCTACCATGACGTTCTGAAGTCTCATGGGCTGTAAAGTATTTGGTCTTTTGGGTGTTTCAGACCATTAAGTAGAGAATCAAACGGGAAAGAGAGGTTCGACCGAGAATACAACAGAAGATGCCAACGAGCACATCAGGGAAGGACCCTTCTCCTGAGTCGCTTCTTGAAGGAACTTTCTTTCTCTTCAACAGATGAGAAACCTTCAACCTCGCTGCATCTTCTGCTACAGATCACGGCAAACAACGTTTGTAGCCTAGGCAGAGGAAACAATCACGTGATATGTTACTAGTCCCGAATAGGCAGCGTCAACTCGGCACCGTAACAAGCACGGGAAGCAGTAGGGAGACAAGGACGCTTCATCCCCAGAGGCATCAGGATAACTCCTATCTTTCTTTCCACTTTGCTCTGTTTTTCCCCGTGAGTGTTACTTTTCCTCTGCAATCTATTTTGCCTCTAGGCTGTTCATCGATTCTAGAACTGACCGTCTTACGTCCCCAGGGCTTAATTTGGTCCCACTGTCCCTTAGAGTTCCTACGACCTCCAGTCAGCCACGT